TTGCACCAATCCGTTAAACTTAATTGCTAAAAGTACATAATCTATATCGTCCAAAAACAATTAATTAATACCACAAATGTTACAAATTTATATTTAATTAAATTTTCATTTCAATCTTCCAATTTTCATCGTTTTTATGTATGATTTCATAGGGTTCCTATCGACGATTGTATAATCGTTGTCTCAACTCAACCAAGATAAGAATAAATGAAAGCTTCATATTAACTAACAAATCAACCCATGCGACGAGACAATTCACGTGCTATGTGAGACCTTTTTAAATAGTTCAATAAGCAAAAATATTTAGGGTGCGTTTGATTTCAAATATGAAATTTGCATGGAAAAAAATAAATTTTAGATAATTCAACTGTCTAGATTTATTTACATGAAAATTATCAATTAAATTTGTTTGATTGATTTAATTTTCAATTTAGAAAATATTATACTTGTCTGTTTTTTATTAGTAGGTAGTGAATTTACTGAAAAATTAAATTTTACTCTCCTTAGAGAAAATATTTTTCTTTATTTTGAGAAAAATATGGTCATGTGACCAAGAGTAGAAAAATATTTTTCATGAAAAAAATAGCAATCACACGACACAAAAGTAGAAATTTGAGTGGAAAAAACACATTTTTCATGGAAATATTGATAATCAAATGCACCCTTAAAAAGAAAATAGATTGCCTTTTGGAGAAAAGTCATATTTTCAACTCACATACACTACATTTCCATTTAGGATCTACATTTTCATTTAGGATCTGTTTGATTGTAAGAATGAATTTTGGCTGGAATGAAAACGAATTTCAGAGAATTAAATTGCCTAAAACTTGTTTTATTGAGAATTGTCAATTAAATGTGTTTAATTTGTATAATTTTTCATCTAAAAAATGTTGAAATTTTGGATATTTTAATATTCGTTTGGATTTGCTTTCCATGAAAATTGTCAATTAAAATGATATTATTTGTTTCCATTGAAAAAATAAAAAATAAAAATAATCTAAAGACTAATATTCTACCAAACTCATGGGAATTGATTTTCCACAAAACCAAAGAAAATGGGTCACGTGGGGAGAGGGTGAAAAATCAATTGACAAGAAAATTTTCACAATCAAACAAGGAAAGAGGTGGAAAAAAAATCTCCCTATCAAGCAGCCTTTAGTTATCTTTGAAATTCAAAATTTAAAAGATGCTAGTAATGTCAAGGTTCAAGATAAAAATTAATCAGTGTCCGTTTGGCCCCCATTCTTAGCTAATTTTAATGGATGGAATAGTGTTTTTTTGAAAAATGTGTGGTTGAAAAATAATGAAATTTTTTTTATTTGTGTGTAATATTATTTTATAGAAGATTGTGTTATTGAAAATATAAGAGAGAAAAAGAATGAGAATGAGATAAGAATGGGGGCCAAACAACTTCTCAATATCGTATGAGCTAGGACTCCTGTACACCTACCAATATAAATTATATAATTACACCTGTAAGCTCCCTTTTGATCCCATTAATTTTCATTATATTATATTACATTTTTTTTCTTATTTTTAATCGCACAATCTTTCATAAAATAATATTACACGTAAATCAAAAATTTTATTTTTCTTTTTGAACAACTCATTTTTCAAAAAAAAAATACTATTTCACTCATTTTCATCTCCACAAAATGGGGGCCAAATGAGTCTAAGCCCCTGTTTGTTTCCCATTATTTGACTATTAAAATGAAAAATATGATCGTTATTCATCACATCAAATTATCATATTTAAATTTCTATTTTTTGTGTGGGGGTATGTAATGATTATATTTTTCATTCGCGTTCTTAGATTAATGAAAAAAAAAAAAAAAAAAGGAGCTTAAATAAGACTTTCCCTATAACAATGATAACTTCATATACCCTAAACCCAAATTTCAACAGCACTAAAGAAAATTAGCTGAATAGTCAGAATTGGTAGGCAGACGGCAAATTTGGACCACGGCCTAATTCAATAATAATAGTATGATAGTTTATCTACTGATAAATGTTGAAATTAATTAAGTTAATTTATTCTGGTATAAAATAAGGAGTTCAGATAATTTTTCAGTAGATCAGTTGTGCATTATTTGGATAATTTGCAACTTTTATTTCCAATTCTCTTATAATTTTTTTTTTGATAAATTCATTCAATGTGTAGTTGTTACTTAATTTCACGATAATTTATTGCATTGACTAAATCACCATAAATAGAAATTTTAATCCATGATTATGGTCTGTCGGTCGATTAATATTTCAACCTAATTGCTATATGCAATGGAGTTGGCAAAGTGATATAAACAAAGCACATGTATACAAGTCCTCTCAACTAACTAAAGTTGCTAGTGCCTTTTAATTCTTTCTACAATTTCTCTATAGAAATTTAATGTAGAGTCACTTTCACTAGTTTAATGGAAATGGTCGATATTGTCACGAAACAGGGCAAATTTGTGACATTAATTGCATAAATACCAAAAAAAACACATGCGGGATACTAACATGCAAAATCAATTTTTTTACTCCTTCGAAGAAAACTTCAACCGCCACAATGTACTAACTTAATTGTCAAACAATCATAGTGAATACACAACTAATATTAAACACATTCTCGAGAGATTATCGATATCTACCTTAAAAGTTGCAGTCCTAAAAGTTATTGAATGTAGCACAATGGAAAATTATTTTCCAAAGAAATCATTTCAACAACCAAAGAGAATAACTTTAGTCCAATACTTTTTTAATCAGAAGACATGAATAGTCTTATCGTGTCTTTGTTAAAGCAAATCATGAGAATAAATTAGAATTGTTTCGCTGAGGCATTCTACTATAAATGCATGATATTTTCAAGTGTTACATGGGCCGAGGAACGAATCGAGAGACTTGCACGAGCTTGCAATCAACTTACATTTTATCTATAAAAATACAAATTTCTATTAAAAAGACGAGAGCTACGAATGGCTCATGAACTGGCTTGGCTCACCCACCAACGAATGAGCTCGTGGAACGAGCCTAACCGAGCTCAACTTTTTTGGGGTGAGTCAATGAAAGCAGCCCATTCCGTGGACAAGCATGAGCATAGCCGAGTCTAAAGATAGGTGAGTCGAACGACTTAATTCTAAAATAAAAATAAAGTATAGTCAATACATAAGAAGAGTTCTATTCCTTTTAAAACTTCAATTGCGACCCATACCCCACTATGCCCCCGTTTGATTCTAATTTTTTCATTCAAAAAAGTTAATTTTTTAACTGTTATTTTATTATTCAAGTTGTCATTTTTGACTTTTTCACTCACAGATGAGACCTGATTATCTCTCTAACGGTTAAAAAATCAATTTTCATAATCACTACAGAACATGGCCCTCCTTTTACTCAATTTGCCACCTTTTTTTTTTTTTTTTTTTTGTGTTGAAAATTTTTGGAGAAGCTACATAGAGGCTTCCTTGGCTTTTATTTCCAATTCTCTTATAATTTTTTTTTTGATAAATTCATTCAATGTGTAGTTGTTACTTAATTTCACGATAATTTATTGCATTGACTAAATCACCATAAATAGAAATTTTAATCCATGATTATGGTCTGTCGGTCGATTAATATTTCAACCTAATTGCTATATGCAATGGAGTTGGCAAAGTGATATAAACAAAGCACATGTATACAAGTCCTCTCAACTAACTAAAGTTGCTAGTGCCTTTTAATTCTTTCTACAATTTCTCTATAGAAATTTAATGTAGAGTCACTTTCACTAGTTTAATGGAAATGGTCGATATTGTCACGAAACAGGGCAAATTTGTGACATTAATTGCATAAATACCAAAAAAAACACATGCGGGATACTAACATGCAAAATCAATTTTTTTACTCCTTCGAAGAAAACTTCAACCGCCACAATGTACTAACTTAATTGTCAAACAATCATAGTGAATACACAACTAATATTAAACACATTCTCGAGAGATTATCGATATCTACCTTAAAAGTTGCAGTCCTAAAAGTTATTGAATGTAGCACAATGGAAAATTATTTTCCAAAGAAATCATTTCAACAACCAAAGAGAATAACTTTAGTCCAATACTTTTTTAATCAGAAGACATGAATAGTCTTATCGTGTCTTTGTTAAAGCAAATCATGAGAATAAATTAGAATTGTTTCGCTGAGGCATTCTACTATAAATGCATGATATTTTCAAGTGTTACATGGGCCGAGGAACGAATCGAGAGACTTGCACGAGCTTGCAATCAACTTACATTTTATCTATAAAAATACAAATTTCTATTAAAAAGACGAGAGCTACGAATGGCTCATGAACTGGCTTGGCTCACCCACCAACGAATGAGCTCGTGGAACGAGCCTAACCGAGCTCAACTTTTTTGGGGTGAGTCAATGAAAGCAGCCCATTCCGTGGACAAGCATGAGCATAGCCGAGTCTAAAGATAGGTGAGTCGAACGACTTAATTCTAAAATAAAAATAAAGTATAGTCAATACATAAGAAGAGTTCTATTCCTTTTAAAACTTCAATTGCGACCCATACCCCCACTATGCCCCCGTTTGATTCTAATTTTTTCATTCAAAAAAGTTAATTTTTTAACTATTATTTTATTATTCAAGTTGTCATTTTTGACTTTTTCACTCACAGATGAGACCTGATTATCTCTCTAACGGTTAAAAAATCAATTTTCTTAATTTTCCCCCTTTTTTTTTTTTTTTTTTTTGTGTTGAAAATTTTTGGAGAAGCTACATAGAGGCTTCCTTGGATTGTTGGATGGTGACAATTTATAACGGCATCTAGAATAACACGTTAAAACTTTTGGGTTCTCGAGATTTACATTTTTTGACCGAACCAATTAATTATATTATACTTAAATAAAATATATTAATAATTTACCAATTCAATATTCTTGTCTAAGCACATGCCTTAGGACCCACTCCATATTTTCTCTTCATCACGCGAATTCGCGAAGTCCGTCCTCAGCAAGAAAGTAGAATCCCCACATCCTACCCCCACCCACCCCACTATATCCTTAAAACCCTCCATTTTCACCAACAAATATAAAGCGTGTTATCAACTACGCCAAACAAAACCCACCTGAAAAGTTTGAATTTCTCCACCGCTCATTAATGTTCCTTGTGACTTTTTTTTGATTCACGGACATAAAATCTTGGCAGCATTTCTTTACCCAATATTCCGGATAATACGGCTAAAAGTCTGAAACTTTACCTCCTCCATGCACGACGGCGGCCACCACCACGAGGATCGTGAAATGCTTTCCCTTGACCTGCAGAATCTGAAGGTAATATCGGCTCTCGGCCGTGGAGCGAAAGGCGTGGTTTTCTTGGTACGAACAGAGAAGGGAGAATTACTTGCTCTTAAAGCAATACTAAGATCTTCGGTTGAGAAAAAGAAGGTCACGAGCAATATTAATCCTAATGAATACAGAAGAATTTGTTTCGAAAGAGAAGTATTGAGCTCTTTACACCATCCACTTCTACCCAAACTTAAGGGAGTTTTACTCACAGAGAAAATTGTTGGATATGCAATCGATTACTGTCCCGGTCGTGATCTCCATTCGTTGAGGAAAAAGCAAACTGAAAAGATGTTCTCCGATGATATTATAAGGTAATTCAATCTTCATATCAGTATCCACAATACTGCAATGTGACTTTTTAATATATTGAGAAAATTTTTCTCTCTGTTTTCAGATTTTATGCTGCAGAATTGGTGCTGGCATTGGAATATCTTCATGGATTGGGAATTGTTTACAGAGATTTGAAGCCAGAAAATGTTATGATACAAGAAAATGGGCATTTAATGCTAGTGGATTTCGATCTATCAACTAAACTCTCTGCAAAATCACCAGAAATCCGTTCAGAGAGTAAATTAAAATCCAGTCCAAAATCGGAGCCCGGGAAAAAGAAGAAAAAGATGATATCCCACCTCTTAAAGTTTCGCGACTCGGGTATTTCGCCGGCCGATTCGGTACATCAGAATGAAAGCGGCGGCGATACAGTAGATACAGAATCTGATTCGGTAGAGAAGTCTAATTCATTCGTCGGAACAGAGGATTACGTGGCGCCGGAGATCATATTAGGTAACGGCCACGATTTCGCAGTCGACTGGTGGTGCTTAGGTGTCATGCTGTACGAAATGCTTTACGGTAAGACGCCGTTTCGGGGGGAAAATCGGAAAGAGACATTTTACAGGATTTTATCAAAGCCGCCGGATCTCACCGGAGAAATAACGCCGTTGAGGGACTTAATCGGAAAATTGCTTGAGAAGGACCCACGAAAGAGGATCTCCGTTAACGAAATCAAGAACCACGATTTTCTTAAAGCAGTTGATTGGGATTTTATTTTGGAGATGCCCCGGCCGCCGTTTATTCCGTTATGGCCTGCGATTGATGATATGGATGGAAATGAGGTAATTGATGTGGAGTCTTATGTCCAAGGCGTGTTTGAAGTCGGTGAAGAAGAGAATATAGAGAGAAATAAAAATTCAGAAAATAAGAATAAAGATGTGTGGGTTGAAGGAATTAATCACCCTGCACAAATTCAAAATAACGAATTTTTGATTTTCTGATATGTTAAAAATTGTAACACTAATTATATTTATTACTCCGTATATATGAATGTTGAAAGGATAGCATTACTTATTAAAATCACAAGAATATTATTTGATTTAGATGAATTTTGGTGTCGTTTAGCCCTCGTTTGGTCCATTAAATTTCATTCCATTACATTTCATTTCATTTTTCTCTCCTCCATTTTCAACCACACAAACTTTCATATAATAATATTACACGTAAATGAAAAAATTCTTTCCTTTTCAACCACTTATTTTTCAAAAAACACTATTCCATCCATTTTTATTTTTTAAAATGGGGACCAAACGGGGCTTTTTTTTATTTATTTATACTCGAGTCTATGTGATGGCCATGGAATCAATAAACTTGAAATATTCGATAACTCGAATAAGTGAGACGAGAACTTTGCTCTCGTTTGGCTCCATTAAAATCAAATTCCGTGTAAAACATATTTTGGAATGGTGATTTTTTGAAGAACGTATGATTAAAAAAATAAAAAATTTTAAATTTACGTGTAATTCTATTTTATTGTAGAATGTGCTTTTAAAAGGAAAGAGAAAAATATATTTTGAAAAAAAAAAGAATGAAAAAATGAAGCCCAAACAAGGGCTTTACAAGCAGGACTTTAGTAGCCCAAACACTTATTTGTTGAAGAAAAACTAATCTAGATCGTAGTTGTACCAATCTATCCTAACAAAAATTAGGAAAATGATATCTCATTTCAGATTAAGCTTCCTTCCTTATCATATACAAGTATGATTTCTAATTTTCTGTTCAACTAATGATTTCAAAATATTGTTTGCAACCTCTCTTGCCAATAAAGAATAAGAGTAGTTCAATAAGTGTATCTACATCAATCTCAATTGCACCCATTAAAATTTCATTCTTTCGATGAAATAATTTCGTGGGATTCAATAAATTGTCTTGATTGTGAAATACCATTAAGAAATAGGAATCCCTGTTATCAAAATTTCCTATGATTATTATTAAGGATCTTGCTACATGTTTATCAAACTTTATACAATGAGTTACATAATGCCACATATCACTATATCATTTGTCAGCTTAAAATAAAACCAACTTTTTCTTCCAATCTTTACCCTCCACATTATTTTATACAATCCTTATGTAACAAATTTTTTTACAAGTAGCATAATTCTTATTGAACAAAAAGAGTGATATTCTTCCTCCATTAATCAAGAATTTCAATTTTCGAAAAGTTTTCATATTTAGTTTCTAGGCAGCCGATCTTCACTTAACCCAACCTAAAAAATGCTCAAAAAAGTGATTTCAATGCTCTCAAAACTTCCAAACCTAATCTTGGAACGCTACTTTCAATTTTTTAATCGAAAACAGAAAATTAAGATTTTTTTCTACAAAATCCTTGAAAAAATTAGCTTTGCTCCACCGCCCATGGCTCCTAGATTTTGAAGCCAATTAGTCACAACTGTTCACTGCCCTAATAAATTAAAACCGCAATAGGCAACAACTTGCAAATGCAACTGTTTCCCGACCACAGTCCCTTTTTTCCCCAACACCCCACTCATCCATCAATACACAAACATGTTTCATTATAAATATAAATGCACGATTAGTCACAGGATAAACCAGAAAAAATTACATCAATTCTATCATAATCCCAAGTATAACTAGATCGTGACTTCTAACCAATTCATGGTCCTCAGAGTAAATAAGTATAGAATTATGTGACCACATGAAAGTAACACATCATACATAATCATATTCAGTTTCGTGCCATATGAACCTAATCAAGCATTTTTCCAGGGAACTCCTGCTTTCAGACTATAAGAGAGATATTTGACAAGGTCACATAAGGTACAAAATCCAGAAAAATGCAAAATGACCGGATGAACATGAACAAAAGCAAGTACCAAAAAAACCTTGAATAAAACAAGATCAGGTTTTGCAGAGTAGAGAAGAGTGGGCAATTGTATAAATTTAGACCACAAATAGAAACAAAATGCCTTCGATGAGAAATACAGTGTTTTCCCCCCCTTTTTTTGGTTTGAATGTGCAAGAAAATCTTTAATCGTCGGGAGTCTTGCTGGGCAACCTAAAGGAAAGTAGCAAAAAAGTCCGTAGTATTCGTTGGTTATGTTCTGCAAGATGATAATTTATGTTTATCTGAGGAATGGTGGTCTTCCCCCCCAATTCGTCACCTAAGTAAATTTGGATTCAGTCACAGTTTATACACATTTGGATCGGATATTCAAGATGTGGTTGTCCTCCTTATGGACCTTCCTTTATGACATGTGAACAAGACCTCTGAAAGGATGACAAAATGCATCATAACTTTGATTCTTCAAAACATCTGTCTTCCAATATAAATGGATTTGACAAGGTCACATAAGGTACAAAATCCAGAAAAATGCAAAATGACCGGATGAACATGAACAAAAGCAAGTACCAAAAAAACCTTGAATAAAACAAGATCAGGTTTTGCAGAGTAGAGAAGAGTGGGCAATTGTATAAATTTAGACCACAAATAGAAACAAAATGCCTTCGATGAGAAATACAGCAATGCAGGAAAAAAATGTAGAAGGTAAATTAAATTGTCATTGCAGAAATTTATAAAGTAGCATGCCACACAAGTTTAAAAATAATAAAAAGAAAGGAAAAAACTTCTGAATACACACAAAATCAACCTGATCACTGTCCTGTCAAATCTTCTAATGCTACCTAATGAAGTAATTGAAGATAACTGCTATTGCAAAGCTCACTCATCCTCTTGGCTACGCAACCTAGCAAGTTTGTTGGTCACGACAACATCCAACTGCGCTGCACGCTCAACAATTTCCTTTCTTTTCTTAGTAGACACATTGTGTGCTATCTCTGCGCAGTATGTCCTGAAAATAAATAAACTAATGGATTAGATATCGTTCGACTATTTTTTATTTCATACAAGGCAGAAAGAAGAGTTATAAACCTGTTGTGCATCATCAAAATTTCGAGTTCTTTGGCATTGTGGACAACAAATTTCTTAAATCCATTAGGGAGATAATGGCGAGTCTTTTTGTCTGAACCATAACCGATGTTTGGCATCAGTGTGCATCCTTTAAACTTTCTCCTGACACGTGAGTCAATACCCTTGGGCCTACGCCAGTTTGTCTGCCACAAAAATAAATGTTTTTAACATGGACATGGACACATGAATATACAATAAATCAACTACTCTAAAAAACTATAACAAAACCAAATATCAAGAATATTATCCAACAGTTGAGCCAAAGATAGGCATTACGGCTAGTAAGTAAATTGATAAAATGGAATTCATAGAGGATCGATACTCTGCTGGTATTGCAGAAACTAAAGTGTTTCCAAACAAATAAGCACTTGGATATGCAGAATAATTTATATTTATAATTCTCTAATGAGCATATCATCATAAGATGACAACTGATCCTTGGGAAGTAAAGCAGTTTCATAACATTACGCATACAAACTGGACTATAATTATCCAAATGAGTTAATTTGACATTGATATTTTCAGTAATTATGATCTCAACAATCAATTTCACATCCTCATCATGCAAAAAAAAAAGGTTCACGTTCTTGACATCTACTAATCTATAATAGTTATGTAGAATTTCATATTCAAGCATTGGCGAACTTTGAGGTAGTGCATTACATGATAAGGAGAACATTGATAAAGTGGACGAGGAAAGTACCTTCAGGGAGACATATCGATCACTCTCATGCCTCTTGAACTTCTTGACACGCTTCTTGATAATCTTCTTGTCGAGCAAAGGAACAGCCATTGTTTCTGCACAAGTATTACCAATTTTTACAGCAAAATTCACGTATAGGAGGAAATGGGAACAGATGACAATACACGTATAATGTTTCAGCAAAATGAATAGTAGCAGATAATCGACAATACATAAACACTCAGCAGACAAATCAGCTTGATCTGATAATAAATTTCCAAGCCTTGCTGCATGTATTAACTAGAGTAAATGGCTGAACCATTTCTAATTCAATAATCTATTCCAGCTCGAACAATACTGACTCGGAAAATAGTCAAAATACCATAAATTCAATGACTATAAAAGAGAGAGATCTCAAAAATTGCTCCCTAAAAAAGTTTCCGATTCAGGTACTTTAGTTTCCCATAGTTCAAGTGAAAATAAACGATGTCATTCACATCGAACTCTGAGAGCGGATAATACATCAAAAAACAGAATAAATGTGCATATACAGAAAAATAATGCGGTAAAATGAAAGTGCACATTAAGCAAATGCAAAAGGCGGTATGCGAAGAAAAAACAAAGCGAAGCTGCGTCTGAAGGTAAGTCCCCCATTGTAAAATAAAAATATGAGTGCGAGAGGAAGAGCTAACCTAGTGGCGCCGCGGCAGCGAGATCTCCGACTTAGTGGTGGGAAATTGAGTCGCGCGGAGGTGATAAAAGAGTGAGCTAGGTTTTGAGCTTTTGTAGTAGGCGCTGTTAGGTTTAGCATTTAGTCCTATTTTTCTGTATATTGGACTGGGCTTTGTCCCTTCAAAAAAACCAATCCCTAAATTCCCAGGCCCAGTAACAAAATTTGTTTGAGAGAAAATTGCGAAAAAAGTCTACTTTTACATGGTCATTCATTTGTAAAAATGTCCTAAATTTGTTCAATGTCCAGTTTGCTAGCATTTAGACCAAAATGCACTCATTAACAAATTTAAATTTCACAATGAGGACAAAATCATTCATATAATAAAAAATTATATTGGACAATGATAACTTGACGCATAACTTATACTATTTATCTTAGAAAGCACCATATCAATCATGCATTGAAATTATTGAATGCTAACTTCTGCCTATAAAAGGGTAAATGTAAAGGACTACACTTTAATAACCCGTTTGGCTCCTATTAAATTTTATTTCATTTTTTTTTTCATATTTTCAATCACACAATCTAACATGAAATAATATTACACGTAAATTAAAAACTTTTCCCTTTTTTTAACCACTCATTTTTCAAAAAATATTATTTCACCCACTTTCATTTCAAAAGATGGGGGCCAAACGGAGCTAAATGTCATGAACTTTATGGAATATAGAGAATTCTTATGTCCGACAAGAAATTTCGTTCTAAACAAATGAAATGTGAAGTGTCAAAATAAACAGGGTCCAAATGTTGATATGAACTTTTAAAAAGTCGGGAACATCATGAAATATCAAGAACAATAACTATTTGTTGACACACTAAAAGTGCAGTCTAACTCGAATAGTCCAAGGAATGAAACCCAATTGAAAAATTCCCAAATCAAATAGCCCAAAGAATGAAGTCCAACTGGGCAATTCAGAATAAAGGCCCAGATAGAGTTATTAATGAATGCAGTAGAAGCTCACGAACACGGTAACATCATCGCCCAAACTTGCAAGACGCCCAAGAGCTGAGCGAATGAAGTGCCTTACAGTCGCTCAGAGCTATGACCCTGTTCTCGTCCAAACTTTCGAATCGCCCAAGATTTTAGCAAACATAAGATGTTATGGTTATCCAGAAGTGCAATTATTGGAGCAGTTATTAAGTAACCTTATCACGTTACACGATTCAAGGAGTTCAGTTGAAGACGGTTGAACAACAAAGAGTAGTAGCAGCAGTTAGAGACGGCAGTTCCACGACAAGTTAGCCACCATAAAGAAAGTGGGTAATTATAAAGCAATCAAGCAGTTTCTAAACGGTTGATCACGAAAAAATCATCAAGGAAATATAAAAGGAAGAGAAGACATAGAGAAAAGGACCTCGGAATCAAACACTCTCAAACAGAGAATATGTAATTTCAATTTCTTAGTTTAAAACTTAAACATTTCTTTCAGTACTCGTGTGCTTGCGCCCCTTGGTGACATTCTGTTTAGTTCCAATTGTAAATCATCGCCAATAAAACACCCCTTTTTGGGACTTTGTTTCAAGAGGTTTGTTTCTTACACAATCGTCTGATCCCTTTTTTAATTGTTAGCGATTACCCGCGCGAAACAATTTGGCACGCCCAGTGAGACCTTAGTGTTTGGTGTTGAAAATACAAAAAGTGAAACAATATGCCTCAGAAATCTGATAAGGAAGCAAGTCAGGGAGGAGTCCTGTTTGTGATCGAGAGATATGAGGATCAGCATAGCTCTCCACGAACAGAGGGATAGAGTCAGAGCAGTCACAGTCATTACGAACCAATGACAGAGTTGAGTCCCCGAACCATGCGTGTGTTACTTGGAGAACTCACACAAGATGTCGTTGAACAATTAAATCTACGAAATATTCATAATATCGAAAGATTTACCCAGAATGGGAATGCACATTATGACAACATGGCCAAACAACTGAACACTCTGAATGAAATAATGAATAAGTTAGTAGGCCAAATTTGTCAGCCAGTTGTGCCTCTTGCAAATCATTTTCAAGCTAGGACAATTGTGGGACATAATCCCCCAGTCCAAAGTCCAAATCAAGGGATATAATCACCTTTTTGTCCCTCTACTTCAAACCAGGGGATGGTGTAATGCCAAATCAGAATAGCGGTAATGGTACAGCTAACTTGGGGGTAATCTAAATGTAAAAGACAATGTCCTAAATAATGGATAGCATGCCCCACGTGTTAATGATGAAATATATATTTAGGCTAATGATAACAATGGCTCAAATCAAGGCAACTTTATTGCCAACCAGGGACCAAACATCAGACCTCAAGCAAATCAATCGATCAACCAACCTGTAGGAATTTCATATGACCCCAACATCATGTTGAGGAATCAAATTATGGAAATAATACAGGATTAGATGGCTTTTGGAGTACGTCCTGTCATTAGGCCGACTTACACAAAGCCATATCCTGATTGGGCAGACCAAGCATATCCATGGCTTAGAGGATATAAAGTACCAGAATTCTCACTATTTACCGATTTAGGATAGGTGTCTACTCTAGGACACATAGGGCGATTCACACTGCAAAGTGGTGAAGTAACAGACTATCATAAAATGGGGTTGTTCCCTAATTCATTAATAGGAATAGCTTTCTCTTAGTTCATCAATTTGCCAGCAAACTCTGTTTAAACATGGTAACAATTGGAGCAATTGTTTCATGCTCAGTTTTATAAGACTGAGTCTAAAGTTACTTTGACCGATTTGGCGAGTCTGCGTCAAATGCCAAACGAATGGGCAGAAGGTTTCCTTCAAAGGTTTAAGACAGCAAGAAATAAATGTTATGTACATTTGCCTGAAAAGGAGTTTATCAAAATCACTCAAAATTGTCTAAACTTTGATTTGAAAAAGAAATTCCAAAACAAGGAATTTCCTGATCTTTTTCAATTGAGTGCAAACGTGATTAGGTATGAACGATTAATAAGAGAAAAAGAGCAAATGAAAAATTCTTGCAAGGGAACTTATTATAGAGACCCAAATTTTGATATTCATGCCATTAATGACGAATATTACGATCAAGCCAAAATGTGTTTGGCCGAATTGATTAAAGGAGATCCGTATACTTGTTCTATAATGGCTAAGCCTAGATCGTCGGACAAGAATGAGCCTATAAAAGATGAAAACAAAAAGGTTAGAACGTTCTCGTTCAATGTAACTAAAGCTGACCTTATATTTGATAAACTATATAAAGATAAACAAATAAAGTTGAGTGATAAATATAAATTGCCAAGCCTTGAACAAGTTAAGGGTAAAAAATATTATAAGTGGCATAATGCATGGTCACATTTGACTAACAATTGTTTGGTTTTTCACCATGTGTTATAGGATGCCATTGAATCAGGACGAATTACGTTCGAGGATAAGAAGAAAATGGCAGTGGATGAAAACCCTTTTTCCATAGCTACTTGGGGTGAACATGGTGACTACTGGTTTCAAAAATAAGTTGCCAAAATTCAAGTTGGTTATAGATAACGGGGAAGAGGACCCTGGGCCATATCTCAGTGTCTTTGAATGTATCAAAGGGAAGGAGCCCAAAAAGGACGAAGACGTCCTGTGTGCAAGATGCAAAAGAGAAGTAAGTGCAAATACAAAGAGACCAGGGATATGGCAGCATCACCATCGCCCTAGTTTTTTCCCAAACGCTCAACCTGGTAGAGGGCGAGGTACATCATTCTATAGGGGACCGCCTTTTGAGAGGCAGTTCAGGCAGTAAATAATGGGAGAACATTCAGGCCACAACCTCACCAACCAAATGTATGGCATTCGTTCTAGTATAACGCAGGAAAGGTGATACCCTTCAACGAGATGACTAGAACCCAACAAAAGCGTTTTCAACGGAACTATGGACGAATGATGAGACAGCAACAGGGAATGCCACGTCCTAAAGCGCATAAACTGCTCGAGGTAGCTAATCAAAATGTTCTCAAAGACAATGAAGAGACTGGTACAGGTGAATCAATGGAAGAATTGCCAGAAACTTCTTCTGGGAGATCGAAGTTTGAGCGAGGCAGAAAAGATGGAGAAGATCCAGATCAGCTCCTTACTATTCAGTTCGGTACGTTACCTCCTGTCATGGTTAATAATTACTTACTAGCCAATGAGTTCAAGAACAAAGAGAAAGAAGAAGAAGAAAGGGAAGATAACGAAGAAGAAGCATGTGTGCTAGAATGTGAAGAAGGCCAAACTTCTAGAGGGGCCTACAATGATGAAAGGGATGATGGTATGAGGAACATCGAAGAGAAAATTGATCTGGAAGCAGAAAGAAGAAAGAGAGGGGTATCGTACAATACTCTATTGAAGCAACTACATTAAGAGGGGGTTCGTGAAGTGGACTTGTTGGGGGAATCGTCTAGGCGTTCTTTCGATTATTACGTGCTGTACGGGATGTCCAAAAGGAAAAACAGAGTTCCTTGCTCTGAAAAGTATGGATCACCTCCAAGAATAATGCCTCCTCCCACAGGTTAGGTAACCGAAGAAGAAGCGTTAGAAAACGGTAAAAAGGAAATTCAGGAAGTAGAAGCTCAGTGCGACATACTGCACGTTGACTTGTCACAAAATGATAACTCGACAGAGGACAAACAGGAAGTGGAAATAGATGCTGCCGAAAAGGTTATTTTCAAGAGACTAGCCATGAAATTGACTAAACATTTGAGGCCATTGTACGTTAAAACTTTAGTTAACGGCATACATGTGGCAAAAGTACTTGTTGATAATGCAGCAGCTATAAACACCATTCCATCTAGGATGATGAGGAAATTTGTAAAGACAGAAAGTGATATGATTCCAACGAAAGTCATCCTTACAAGTTTCGATGGAGGAGCAACTTCAGCTAAAGGGGTTATGTCATTGAACATAACTATAGGGACAACTACTAGGACCACAGTCTTCTTTATAATAGATGGTCCTACTAGTTACAATGTGTTATTAGGAAGAGATTGGATACATGAAAGTCACTGTATACCCTCATCACTCTATCAATGCCTGGTTTTTTGGAATGATAAGGGTGAAGTAGAAGTGGTGCAGGCCGATCATAGGCCTTTTGTCGCAG